ATGAATCATAGTTCTGATTCCAAAATCATTATTAGAATCATCATGATTTAAATTCTCATACCAAACAAACCATAATAAATACAATATATACTAAAGCTACAAAACGAAAAAAGAAAAAAACATTATTTACAATACATTTACATTAATATTCGAATAATATACATATTTTTATATTTCTACAGCTCTACCCTTGTATATGAAATTTTTATTTAGTGATAAATCGTAATAACATTATTCCATCTTCAAATATTGGATATTGTATGGAAGCAACAAACATTGTTTATATAATGTTTACAATGAAACTGTAAATGTCATAAAAATATTCTCTGCATTGAAAGAAAAGTTAGAAGGTGTAGAAAGTAAAAAAAGCGCATGTAGCAGATCACATGGATAACACTAAAGGATAAATAGATGAGAATATTAGATATACATATATAAAGAATATGGTCCAGGTATTTGCTTTCAATGGCTAACATCACACATTAAAAATAACTGAAATAGGATTTAGCAATGCCAATGCCATTTAATGTCAACTGAATTGTAAAAATTTTATGGACAATAAGAAGGGAAAAAGAAATAGGGAAAAAAGAAAGAAAAAAAAAATAAAATAGTACAGGAAAAAATGGTTCAGGTATGTATCTTTTACTGGTAAGAACATATATCAGGAAATTTGTAAGTATGACGGAAAGCAATCCCTGAAGAGTAATTGAAATATTTGAGAAGAAAACAAATATGAAAATATTAAAGAAAATGTGAAAGAACTAAAAAAATGAAACCTAAGAGTTTCTGTTCAATGTGAAGAACAATAGGAAAGCAAGAAATACTACTCTGATAAAAAATGAAGGGGAAGACAGCATGAAAGAAAAAAGGATAAAATCTCAGAAACTTCATATAGAATAACATATCACATGAATAATACTAGAGAAATAGATAAGGAAATTAAATAGACACATATAAAGAATTTGATTCAGGTATTTATCTTCAATTGCTAACATCATGCATTAAAAATAACTGAAATAGAATTTAATAATGTCATTCAGTACCAACTGAATTATTAAAAGAGTTATGGAAAATAAGAAGGGAAAAAGAAATAGGGAAGAAAAGAATGAAACAGAATAGTAAAAAGAAAAAAATGGTTCAAGTATCCATCTTTTACTACTAACAACATATATCAGGCGAGAGTAAAAAACGATTTATCAATGTTTGTTTTTGGCTACCAACAAAATTATTAGAGGATTTTTACTAAAGACAGAAAAAAAGAACAGACAACACAAACACTATAAACAAAGATAAGAAAGATAAGAAGGCATTTATAAGCGTCATCAAAATCAATCACAGAAGAGTGACTGAAATATTTGAGAACAAAACGAAGATGAAAATATTAAAAGAAATGTGAGAAAACCAAGAAAGAAAACCTAAAAGCTTATGTTGAACGTTAAGAATGACAATAGGAAAAAAAGAAATATTGTAGTGGTAAAAAGGCAAGAGCAAGACGGCATCAAAAAAAAAAAGAATGTAAATAAAATCTCAGAAACTTCAGAAACAGAAAAATGACTAAAACTGGCGAACCAACAACAGAAGCAGGAGTAAAAGAATAAAACGAAAACCTTTCAGTAAAATCAGATAAAGAGCAAACCATTTCAGAGTAGAGAATAACAATAACAGTACAAATCCTCAATAATCCGGGCAACATCAAAAACTACTAAATCGATATAAATAATTACTCGATAAATGGTAATAGTAAAAGAAGATAACATCATCATCACCGTTAACGACGTTAATGTAAAAGAAGAACATACTATTGACAAAATAAAATAAGTAAAACAACATAAATTTTAAATAATCCGGGCAACATCAAAGCTTGTTAAATCACTATAAACAGTTACTTAATACATGACAATAATAAAAGAAAAATACTACATCTTGACCAAATAAGAAATCACATCAGACATAAAACAGAGTGTTTACAGATTAAGATAACAAATAAAATAAAAACCTAATTTTTACTCAAATAGCAATAATTTATATAATATAAACACTAAACATTATGTTAAAAATAATATTAACAAACTTAATACAAACGCAATCATAATAACAACTCAATATATGCATTTAAAAATCATACCGATATAATACATATAATTTTTAAAGCATGTAAAAGTAACGTGAAATAAGTATCTCAAACTAATAACGAAAATGAACAGAGTTTATGCATAAAAAGTACAAAAAAACTCCAAATCAGAGACAACCTAAAAAAAATACTCACTATTAAAAATTAAAGAAAAGAAAGAAAGCAAAGAAGATATATTGTAATAGTATGTGAACAAAAACAAAAATAAAGTGAAAAACGGTAAGCCTGAAGGAGAAAACAATATGACCCCGTTTATTTCGTTGATTCGAGTTTAGAATTCGAGTTTTACTACAGTAAAAAGCTCTAAGAAACAGTCACATCTAACTTTTTTGCTACAGTAAAAAGCTCTCACACAAAATCACATCTCAACTCGAATTACAAACTCGAATCAGCGAAGTGAACGGGCCCTATATTTATACAAATAACATAAACTTCTGAGCATGTGACGATATAAAATCTTACAAACAGAATTCAATACATGTAATAATTAGTTAAAAACATGTGTTACGTTACATCAAAACTACTGCATAACGGAGCGAACCTCCTATAAACAGTGAAAAAAATTAATCCGATAGAAAAAAATACCCAACACTAAAAACAAATGTTTAAACATTCTTGACTAACAGAACCTACAAACAAAGATGAAAACATGTAAAATGTGACTTTATATGAGATCTTTTTACTGTAATAAAAAAATTAGATGTGACTATTTTTAAGAACTTTTTATAACAAAACTCAAATTTTAAACTCGAATCTGTAAAATGAACAGAATCATAATCATTAGTGAAAAATAAGTGTTACAGAGCATGATAACCAACAAAAATCAGAACTAATGAATAACATACCGTAAAAAACTACACATCTCTTATACAAAATTACACGATAAGAAAAAACTCATAGAGAAACAAATAAGGAAAACGACAATAGAAAGAAAAAATTATAAATAGAGTACAAATGAGAAAACAATCAAAATAGACAAAAGAGGAAAAAATAAACCGAAAAAAATTAAATTTTTTAAATCTCAATTATTATTATAAAAAAATTAAAAAAATTGTCCTTTTGAAACAAAGAACGAAAGCCTTAAGAGGACAAAATTGGAAGAGAAAAATCGAATCGTATAACAAATCCGCAAATCACCGAAAGAAAGAACAAAAGTAAACCAAAAATAAAAACAAAAATAAATAAATTCGAAGAGGAAAACCTTAAAAACCAAAAAATTCCAAGACGGACAAAAATAAAATTTATAAAACTTCCAAATAAAATTTATAAAACTTTCAGAGAGAAGAAAACGTAGAAACTCCACGGAAACATAACTAATGAGATTAACTCATATATCACATAACAAACCGGAAGAAAGCCCAACAAATCTCAAACGAATTTCTTTTTTTAAAAAAAGAACCCTACAGGGCGAAAAATACCCAGACGACAGAAAATGTAGAACGAACAAAAATTTTCAGACAGAAGAAAACGTAAGAACTTGACAAAAAAATAACCCATAACCTCAACCCATTTATCACATAGGAAACCCAAAAAAATCCGAAATGAACCCAACGAAAAACAAACCCAGAATCCAGAAAGAAGAAAACGTAGAAACTCCACCGAAACATAACCAATGAGATTAACTCATATATCACATAACAGACCAAAAGAAAGCCAAAAAATCTCAAACGGAAATTGAAAAAAAAAAAAAAAAAAAAAAAAAAACCCACAAAGCAAAAATTACGCAGACAACAAAAAGTGGAGAACGAACAAAAATTTTCAGAGAGAAGAAAACGTAAGAAATTGACAAAAAAAATAACTCATAACCTCAACCCATTTATCACATATAGGAAACCCAAAAAAATCCGAAATGAACCCAACGAAAAACACATCCAAACCCAGAAACATAAAATCGGAGGAGTAATTAGAACGAAAACACAATAAACCATAAGAAACCATAATGAAAACGAAGAGGAAGTGTGGAGAAGAAACGAAGAGAAGCAACTTCAGAAGGTAAGAGATTGAGGCGTAAAAGCTTCAACGAAAGAAGTGGGAAGCTTCTGGAGAACAATTAAAAAAAACCACCGCATCAAATGACAAAGAAAGCAGAACAAAAAAAAAATTCTGAGAACGAAACCCAAATTAGAAAATAAAACCACAAAAAAATCAGAGAACGAAAAACAAAGGAGCAGAAGCTAAAGGACCGACAAAACAAAAAAATTTCAAGATTTAAGACAACTGAACTACGCGCCGGAAGAAGAGAAGAAAAAAATTGTTCTTGCAAGGAAAGCAAAACCACAAAAAACGAAATCATAGAAAGGAAACCAATCGAAAAGTCCAACAGAAGACAGGTGGTGTTCACACCGCAAGAAGAGAGCCAAAAAAAAAAACAAAGAAAAAAACCAAACTCAAAGACAGCTGGGCACACTTTCTCACGCATAACTCTCTCTCTCGGCAGAAAAGCACCAAAAGCCCAAGGCAACATAAACTGAAAAAAAATCAAGACCGAGGGCAAAATCGTACAAACATATCAAAGCCCAGTTGAAATTCCAAAAGCTCGCACCCAGCAAAAGAAGAGAAAAAGAAAAAAAGGGGCAAGACAGACATTTCGCAGCGGAAAGGTAAAAACGCCGTACACTGTTCATAGAACAGTAACTTCGGTATAAACAGACTTCGTGCCTCCTTTAGGAGTATGTATAATAATATATATATTAATGGTTTGTCCGAAGAACATGTGCCTATTGTTTGTGCAAGAAAACGACATGTCGTTTGGTGGTACAACGACGAATCAAACTGACCTTGTCCTTGCGTTTTGAATCGGACTATTCGGAAGGCCTAACTAAACAATCGAACGGTCCTTCCTGTTTCATGTTGGAACCCAATCCTATTCCCTAACCCCGTTTTTTTCCGACACCAAAATCTTGGTTAAACCTCAGAGTTCTCAAACACACTACCGTTCACTCCGAACGCCACCAAAAGAATTCATGGGGTCGGTGAGTTTCGCCTCACTGTTCGCCAATGGTTGCCGGAGTTTTAACTCCCGGCCGGTGGTCGTCGTGCGCTCCTTAGGACTCCGACTCTCTCATGTCTCTCTCCCTCAACACTCCAACAAGCTTCTTCAGGTCGGTTGGAATTCCCACAGCCCAAATAAAAGACCCTTTGCTTGTCAATCCACGACGACAGATGTTGCCCAGATTAATCCGGCTTCTTCTCTAAACTGGTACCTTAAACTTTTCACATTTTTATTGCTTTTCTGGTTCTGGGTATTTGAGATTTTTGCTTATTTCTTAAACTATGGTAGTTTGTTTGAGCAAAAGAAAAGAAGTTATTAAGTTTGAGTCTTTCAGAGAACCGCTTATTTTCTCTATGTAATTGTCACATTTGCTAGTATAAAAACGTTGCCACGATCCAGATTTTCAAGCAAAAAGACTTTCCTTGTGTTTCCAAATGAATATTCTCCCAATCGTCTTGTTGCTTGAACATCTTGTGAAATACTAATTCTATATATTCTCAGCGTCTTGTGTTTAGTGCATTTCTTTATATTATTATGTCCTTTTTTTTCCTGCTAATTATTTGGCTTGTTAGTAATTTATAAACATGTATCCTTAGTTTCGTCTATTGTTTGTTTAAATACTTTTTTTTTTTTTTTACCATTTGGTTTTCTGACTTTAAAAGACTTGAATTGATATCAGTTATCCAAAATATGATCGCTTGCTTCCATGTCCCTCACACAATTTGCCTCCAAGAGTTGAGCACTTGGTTGTCACAGAAGAAGGGCGTGTTCTGGATTATATTTGTAAAGCTCTGGATCTTCCTCCTCTGTAAGTTCCGCGGTTTAGTCATCTTGTAACATTGTTGTTAAGAATTTTGTTTTCTGTTAATAGTCGAGATCGAATAACAGAGAGAGAATTTTTCATTCTTTGTAAGGTTTGTTGCAGATCTCATCCATTTTGGAGCTGTGCATTATGCCCTCGTATGTCCAAAGCCTCCTCCAACTGCAACCCCAGAGCAAATAAAGGTGTTTAAAGAAGTCACTGCGCCATCTGTTTTGAGAAAGAGAGCTTCCATCAAAGGAAAAACAGTACGGGAAGCCCAGAAGACATTTCGGATAACCGACAGGGAACAGTTTGTCGAAGCTGGAACATACTTGCGTGTACATGTACACCCAAAGCGGTTTCCCAGGTAAAAACTAAGAACATTGTTTTTCGGATTTTTAGTCCATGGATTTTATCTACGCTCTTCTTGTTGACACCTAGTCACCTACATTTAATCAGGTGCTATGAAATTGACTGGAAGTCGAGAATAATAGCTGTGGCTGAATCCTATATTGTTTTGGACAAACCTGCTGGTACATCAGTACGTAACAAATCCATTAGTTTTTTTGAAATGCTACATATTTTTTTTATTGTCTATAATTTGAAAAAGTTTGTCCACATACACTGAATTTAAGATGCTTATCTTCTCATCATAGTCAAGTAGCGGTGGGAAAAATTTTAGGTGTTTGTCTTGCATGGCAGCATGTGAAAAGTTATTTAAACGAGAGTCACATACATATTTGAACTGAGGAACTTAAAATTCTGACAAGAACTCTCATTGTCATCATATTTTTCTCTAGACTTTCATTTACACCATGTATGATTTGTTTGAATTTTGATCAGGTAGGAGGAACCACAGACAACATTGAAGAAACTTGTGCGACCTTTGCAAGTCGTGCCTTGGGATTAACAACCCCATTGAGGACTACACATCAGATTGATAATTGTACAGAGGGATGGTATTGTATCTTATTGTACTTGCTGTGGTGTGATTTTGTTTATTTATTTATTTATTTTTATTGGTTAATGTGTCAATGTGATGATAGATATGGAAATAATGCTGGTAAATTCTTTTGCAGTGTTGTGTTAGCTAGGACCAAGGAATATTGCTCAGTTTTTCATGGAAAAATCAGAGTAAGTTTTATGTAATTTCATTTCTTGCAATGTTGCCCTTGTAGGGATTGCACACAACATTAACTCAGAAGCAGTCCAGTCTTTGGCTGTTGTGATCCTATCCTGCGCGTGTTTCCCCCACCGAAATGAATGCAGAAACTGAACTTTCATGTTTTACAATTGTACGATTGTATAGAACTTGAGAACATAAATCCTCCATCCAGTTTTCCTGTCTTGGCTCTTTGTCCATCAAATTATTTTCTACACGTCGTCGGAAGTTCTGAACAACAATAACTATTACCTCTTCTGAATCCACTCCGCTTGACAGTTCATTAAAATCCTGACCCGATTTGTTGTCAGAGAGTAATTAAGTAGACGGAGAGCAAGACAAGAAACATATGGATCTGGATTCTCTCTTGTGATAAAAGTTGTGTGTAATTTGGACCTTCCCCCCGTTTTTGAACTCATCAGGAGAAAACAGTGAAGAAGCTATATCTTGCTCTGGCTGCTGCTCCTTTGCCAACTGGAATAATTACTCACTACATGCGTCCAATTAATATGGCTCCAAGACTCATTTCAGAAGGTAACTATCTCTTGTAGAAATTTATTGCTGAATACAACCAATGAATAAAGCTTTCTTTTACCTCCTGTATTGTGGTAGCTATAGATACAAGGGTATCTTCTTTGCAAAGGCAATTGCGTAAAACTTTGTCATGTTAATCAATGGTTTTTAAAGGAACTCTTTTCCTGCCTTATACTGACCTACATAAAACCCAAACTTTGAGGCGTTGCAGATTTTGTTGAAGGGTGGTACCTTTGTAAACTAGAGATCATTGAATGCAGAAAGATTCCCTGGCCAAATAGTGTAACTGAAAATAAATATTGTATTGAAGATTCTCATTGGCCCTCAAAAGATTACGCATTTGAGTGTAAGATCAACCTTTTGACTGGTCGGACTCACCAGGTAAGAAGCGACATTTCTTTTGACTGAAAATAACTTTTATATTGCAGATACTTTTTCCCCCTCTTTCAGTATTCATTCTCTTGCTACTATGGTTCGCAAGATGGTGATCGTGGCACGTGATGTAAAATTTTTATTCTACACTTCCTGAAATATGGTTCTTCAGCTATGCTTTTGGAGAACGTTATTATTATTTTTAGTGGGTTGGAACCTTAATCATAAGGTTCATTTTGTATTTTTCACCTAGAATGCAACTGATAGTAAGTAAGCTGAGATAAGTTGTAGGATAATTTTCTCATAGGAGACGGGACCAAAATATTGCTTTGGTACTGATTAAGTCTTGTTATGCAGATTCGAGCACAGTTAGCAGCCTGTGGTGCACCGATAGTGGGTGATTCAACATACATGCCGGCTGCACTTGTGGAGATAACCAGTCCAGGAGTGAACCCATTTGGAAAACATAGGAAACTTTATTCAAGTGAGGATGACAAAGAAATGGCCATAACAGAGTGGATTGCACGGCATGGAAAGGAACCAAGTGTTTCCATTGGTCTTCAAGCATGTCAGATATCATGGGATGATGGACAACACATCTATGAGGCTGGAGCTCCTTGGTGGAGAAGACAAGAAACTTGAAGTAGGAGAATTAGAATATTATAGATCAAGTGCAAAGTCTGGTAATTTCTCAAGCCGAACTCTATCGGTTCATAGTTTACCATCATATTTTATGTGGGAGAACCCAGGAGTAAATCCACTCTTTCAAAAGGAGAAGAATAAACCTTTTATTCTGCAACAAATGCACTTCATCTGACAAGCCAGAAATTATAAATTGAACTAATTATTCCATTGACATTTTACAATGTTCGCACAGTTTCACAGGTTATTTTTTCCGCTTGAAAAATTTGCTTTTTCTTTGAGCAGGCTTCAAATTTCATTTAGGCTTTCTAGCTTTCTCATTTTAAGGTGATTGTACCCAACATCCTAAGCTTGTATGGTGATATCAGATATGCAATACCGAAGAGGTAAGCATTAAGTGCCTGACATGTAAGGTAAACAGCAGTCATTTCATTTTTTCCGTATACACATATGCAAGCATGTAACAAAAAGTATGTTCGCAATTCTCTCCAAATTTTACTGAGTAACCAGTGTAAACCCCTCAATATTGGAAGTATCCCTGTTATATTGTGGCATTAGGGTTTTTCCCTTGTGCTTTGAGATGAATCGCTTGTACCAAGGTGCTGATAATTTCTTGCTTCTCTTAGTGTAGCATAATCAACATGGTGAAGTCGAAACCTTACCTTGTATCCTTACGTCCACTTGAAATTCTCGAGCAAGGACGTCACGTGCAATCCATTTCTAAACACGTAGAACTAGAATGCATTAATTAATAACACTTTGTTATCTATAGTTTTGTGTCATACCTCGCTGCTCTCAAAAGGTCATCTAAGTAGTCAGCCATAAACTTCACTCTATTGACATCACGTAGAGCTTCTTCGATGGTAGTATTCGAATTCTCATAACAGCCATACCCTACTAGAGCCAAAATTTCATTGCCACAAATATGTATATGAAATGAGCAAGGGCATCCATGTACGTCCCTGTCTATGTCCATTTTTTTCTATTACATATGCAATCATTTTCTCCATTCCTGGTGGGTAAACAATTCTGCCGTGCCCTAGAAACAGAGAGAGAGAGAGAGAGAGATCAAATAGATATTGTTGGTATAACAAGAAAGAGGTTCATATAGGCAGATTCTCTAACAAGGATGCCATTTCTTTCTGAACTTTGTTGGTATAAAACCATCTGTCCATGACTCCAATTGCAGGTTCACATGGAGAAGAGATGCAGTCTTGGACCTAGTAACTTGTGTAGTGATTGATGCCAATGAAATCCAATCCATAAATCCTAGTTTCTCTGTCACTAATTGGAAATTTTGGTAATTTAGCCGATTAAATTTTTTTTTTTTTTTCATTCAAATAGCATGTGGCTTTTGGTGGACGAGGAAGCGCAGTCCAATTAGTGAAGTGGGCCCTCTGAATTAGTTCTTTTGTTCATTGTAGTAAATGGACGGATCACTCATTGCCCATATTCTCTCACTTACGTAGTATGATGCAAGTGAGTCGAACCATGACCTTGCTGAGGAAAATGAGCCTTACCATCATATCAAATGAATGGTCACGAGTTAATTCTTTCATCATTCTGTGTTCTTTCTTCTCGTTATGTAGTTTTTGCCCTTTTGGTGATTCCATTCCTTTCCAAGAAAAGAACGAAGCAGAAGAAAAAAAGAAGAGAAAAAATTAGTGGAATTTGTGCACATATTTCAAATGTTTAAACAAAGAATAAAGATTAAACTAGTCCATTTACAGTAAACCAGTTTCACGGCCCTGTTCATTTCGCTGATTTGAGTTTAGAATTCGAGTTGAAATGCGATTTTATGTAAGTGCTTTTTACTGTAATAAAAAAGTTAGATGTGACTGTTTCTAAGAGCTTTTTACTGTAGCAAAACTTGAATTTTAAACTCGAATCAGCGAAATAAACGGGGTAAACTTGAAAAATATGATATATTGACTCCTATGTAAGGTGTACTTATTTTACATCTGCTTCCTTGAATACACTTTGGCATTGCTTCGTTTCATTAGCAATGAACTGTCTGTACCAGTCAGCTGAGAGTCTTGCACTTCTCTTGAGAGTGGCATAATCGACATGGTAGAGTCCAAAACGCTCCGTGTAACCACTAATCCACTCAAAATTATCAAGCAAGGACCAAGCAAAGTAGCCTCTCACATCTGCTCCTTTTCTGCTATATAAAAAAATAATAATAATAAAATAAAAAGAAAAAGAAGAAGAAGAAGAAGTTGCCCTTTTGATCACTTTCAAAATCTGTTAAAAATTAAAAACCGGAAACAAGTTTGAAACGTAATGGTTTGAACTATTTTGGTTTGAAATGGAAAATTAGAAAAAACCAATGGCTCAAAAGTTTTGGTCCAAACCACTTGAAAAGAAGGGGGTGTAAACTCAGATTTGTTTTTTGGTTCGAAACATCGAATCAATGGTAGTTAAAACCACTTGAGCTGGTTTACCAGACATAAGCTTGTTCTATATGTTATTTAAAGGAGTTCCAAGTACCGTACCTGACTGCAGTTGCTATAGCATCTAAGTAGGACCTCATGTAGTCCACTCTCTTGACATCATTCAGTAAATCTTCACGTTTGAAATTGGGTTTTTCCTTATAACCATACCCTTTAAATAGAAAGACATCATCAGATATTTTTGTTCCTAAAATGACAGATAAATTTGCACTTTTACACTTTGATCAGATTCTTTGATTTCTAATCATCATACTCACCGTTTTCTGTGATGAACATTGGTGTGTTGTTGTACCTGTCTTTTATGTACGTTATAATCTTTTCCATTCCTTGGGGATAAACATATATCCAGTCAACTTCACTCTGCAAATTAGCATCAATGAGAAGGTTCTGTACTTGATGATTCTAATACTATTCTGTGCCAAGAATATTAGAAAAATCATAATAATATTAAAAATGTACGTTCACATTTTTAAAAGGGTCGCTTTAGTACTTTAAAGCCTTTTTTTCGAGACATAAAATGACTAAAATGCACTTTGAATTAGTTAACCACAAAAATAAAAATCAAAGCATAAACTTTTAAAATATATTTATACGTATTACTTTGTCTTCAAAAGAAATCCTATATCAGAAATTAATTATGAACGATTCTTACATTTTGATTAAACGTATGAGAAGTCGTTAACGAGATTACGCACCGGTTCTCCAATAAAAAGCCCATCTTTCTGCGCAATTCGTAGACTCAAACCTTCCGTCTTAGAAGCTCCTGCTTTGGGTTCACATGTAGAAAATTTACAGTCTTTTGCATAAAAACTGGTATAGTGATTAATGCCAATAAAGTCCAATCCATTCTTCAGCTTCTCCATATCATCTTTCGAAAACGCGGGCAAATGGTCTCCCAGAATCTCTTTCATTTCCGCAGGATATTTCCCTAGTATAATTGGGTCCAAAAACCTGCATTTGAGCTTTTTTCAATCAGGGGATTTTTTTTTTTCTTTTTTTTACCATGTCTTGAATGAATTATATCTTTACCAGTTCATATAGAAAGACAGAGCCCTCTCAACTGCTAATTTATCTTCCAAGGAGTTGCTGAAAGGTTCGTACCACAAGCAGTTCATAACAATCCCAATACTTCCACCTTGAGTTTTCTGAACGATTAAACAAAGTCATTTTAAGTATCTACAGTCCAAAAAACATTATTGCTAATTGCCCGAAAATGCGAGGCAAACATATTCTAGTAAAGACGTTCATCATGACTCTCGAAATCACGTGCCTAAGCTAAACCTTGGAAGAAAAAATAAAAAAAGTTGACCTGATATTTGGTTCGGTAAAGATGGACAGCAGAAGAGTGTGACAAGATGACATTATGGGCAGCGATAAAAGGCTCGGTGGTGGAGTCTCCGGCGGTACAGTTCCCAAAGGAGGGACAGCAACGAGATGGTGGGTAAATCCCAGACCTATACCCTCGAATAACTGCAACGTTGGGCTCATTGAAGGTCGCCCAGTAGTTTACTCTGTCACCGAATGATCTAAAACACATATCTGCGTAGTATCTGAAATCCTCCCTGCATTTTTATCATTTTCCAGACCCAATTTATTTGGCGCTTTTTACTCCCCGATGATTTCCAAAAAGAAAAAAAAAAAAAAAATAGATACCTTTAGACCTGAATATTAGAGATGAGTGGGTATTTAGTATTTGCAGTAGGCAAATCTACGACTATATTTAAAAATGAGATTCGTGTTGCTAACTAACTAGGTATTTAGCGGCATGCTTAATGCTTTGCCCCTGGATTCTTAAAGAAAAGAGCAATAATAATTTATTTGGAGCATTATGCAACACTTTTTTAAATTTAAAGTTCTAATTTTTGTTCTTCAAACGAGCTTACATGACATGCACAGGAATATTTGATCCGAATTTTAATAACTATAATTGATTTTGGGACATTTTGCGATACTTAATTAAATTAAGGGTAATTTATCAAGATTAAAAATTTAAATCTAACCTGCCAATTCAGAGAGAGCTCAAAGAGTTTTAAGGTAAAAGGACCTAAGCCTTAGAGGTGTCAAATCAGAGGTGTTGGCTTTCTAAACTTGAATTTATATGTTTATGACTTTCGTGGCACCGCCGCTGTGGTGGAACTCGATTGTTATTCTACGTCATGTTTATTTTACTAATTTATTTAAGTTTTATTACAGTAAAAAATTCTCATAAATAGTCACGTTTAATTTTTTTATTACAGTAAAAATCTCTCATATAAAGTCACATCTCAATTCGAATCACTTAAGCCCCTAATCTACATGCTAATCATGTTTATTTTGAATTAGAATGCACAAATTTCAACTCTACACTTTAAGGTATAATCAAGTGTGAATTTACTATTAAACTATAAGCGTTATCGCTGTACATCTGCACATATGTATGCGTATTTATTAAAGTAGAATAAGAATATACTGCTACTTACTGCACTTCTGGACTTAGCCATGCTCCATATCTTTCTTCAAGTTCCTGAGGAATGTCGTAATGACTCAATGTCACAAAAGGCTGGATTCCTGTAGCGAAGAATATCTGGTAATTACACTGCCGAATCGTGACATGTGTGTGTATGTATACGTATACATATACATATACATATATATATATAAATATATAAATAATAGCAGAATCAACCTTTCTCAACAGCAGTAATTATACACTATTTTTTTTTTTAAATAAATAACATGGTTTTTTTTTCTTTTTATTTTTATAACTTTGCATTTTGAGGTTATAAAAAATAATATCTTATGTTTTGGAGTTTATCTTATTTATACCTCTAGATTTCGAACTTATACTCAAATCTTATCTTTAATCAGTAACAATTAAAATCCATCCAAACACCCTCAGTAAATAAAAAGAATAAGAAAACTTCGTAAAATAGGAGGATATTTGAGTATTTTTCATAGCCAAAATAAATCTTTAACTAAAAATGGGTAAGTATTTAATATGATTTTGAAATGTGAAGCTATAAATAAGATACAATTTAAGATATAAAGTATATGTTTTTTAACCTCTCAAAATGCATGGTAAAAGATGAAGAAAAAAAAAAGAGCATAAAACCTACCATATATATATAAATAAGGAAAGTAAAATACAAAAAAAAAAAAAAAAGAGAAAAATTTAGTGAGAGCATATATATAAAGATATTAAATTTTAGTGGAGGTGAAATTGAAAAGCAAAAATATTTAGTTGGTCAATTTTAGTTTTAAAATAGTCAGTGGGGCGGGTGCTCCCACTGGTTGCAACACAGCTTTGCCACTGTATATATAGTACTATGCGAAATTTATCGAAATTTGTTGGCAATTATATAGAGAGGTGATTAAAAATGACCTCTGCCCAGGAGAGCGTCAATGAGCTTGTTGTAATAATCAATGCCTGCCCCGTTTACTTTTCCAAATCGTCCCTCTGTTTCAGAGTTTGAAAGGAGTAGTCAGTAGTTAAGAGGGCGTTTGATAGAGAGATTCATTTTCTGATTCGAATCATGATTCGTGATTCGTTACAGTATTTTTTCTCACAAAAAAATACACATAAATCAAAAATGATTCGAATCACATGATTTGAATCTTCAAACCAAACGAATCAGAGATAAGAAAATTATGTCAATATAGATAAACTGGTCGGAAGCTCTTTTAAGGAAACAAGAAGAACTTTTACTTGGTAAAATTCTTGCCCATGATATAGAGAAACGGTAGCTATTCACTCCCACGTAATTCATAAGATTCAAATCTTCCTGTTTAATATACGATGTCATCGTGATATAATCAGTATTTTAGTCAAGGAAAAACATAAAGGAAAGTCAATAATATTTCTTATCATTCCATGGAGTAGTATTATTATGTGGCCATTCTAATGTAGTATCATGTCAGTGATGACCATCAGATCTGTGATATCATGATATGCAACTTTTATTTGTCAATGAATATGCATGTGATTTGACAAATAATTACAAATGAGACAGAAAAGACATTTGATGTGATTGAGAAAATAAGTGGGCACTAAAACCAGTGATACAAAAGTAACAAGTCAAAAATGCCGGATATATTTGTTTTTTCTTAAGATTCGTTTGATATCTCCATTTAAATTATGATTCTAAAATTAAAATTATAATAATTTATAATTTTGAGTTTAAATTATAATTTTAAAATTAAGATTTAGAATTAAAAATTTAAATCATCTTAAATTAAAAAAATGATGGTTTTAAAATTATAATTTAAATTAGTTTAAAACATCACATTATATTTTAAATTATGATTTAAAATTATTGTAAATAAACATTGATTCTGAATTAGAATTTAGAATCATAATTTTAAATCGATCTACCAAACGTACTCTAAGATTTAAATCATAATTAAAGTTTTTTTATTACAATATTTTTTTATAAAAATTAAATTCAATTATCTTACTATATTATTTTCTATCACATAAAAAATTTAATTATAATTTGAGTTTTTTTATAAGCAATTGTGATTTGAGTTTCACATCATTTATTGCTTTACTTTTTCTCAGGGTGGTGGGTCAGTGCCATGCCAAAATGTTGAATTTTGCTCCTCTTTTTGTTTATTTTTTTAATTTATGAAAGAGCCATTCATTGAAGCTTATTAGGAAAGAAACAGAAAACAAATAAAGCCCGCAGGCAGAAGAGAAGCATGACAGGACGAGATAAATTAAGGCTATATTTATTTTATTAATTTAAATTTTATTACAGTTAAAAGTAAAGTCACATTTAATTTTTTTATTACAATAAAAAATTTTTATATAAAGTTATATCTTAACTCGAATTAAAAATTTAAATTAACGAATTAAACAGACCTTAATTCTTTTCTTTTTATACACAGATATATACTCAAAAGAGAAAAATTCATTGAAAAAAGTTTTTAAAAAAAACCACTGAACAAAACGATAAAAAATAGGGTCAAAAATTTGTTTAAAGGGTTAACTAAAGTATTGAACTAAACTGAAAGTCCAAATTAAGTTAATAATTAAACATAAAAACTAAATATACAATAAAATATTTTAAGAATTTGTTAAAGTTTGAAATTATATAATTTTAAGGGACCACAATATAAAGAAAATGAAAGGAAAACTTTAATAGCGGGATGAGTTTTTTTTTTTAGTGCATTTTTATGATCATCAACGAGAGTAACAAAACATTGTAGATGCAGAGGTTTAGGCCTCGTTCATTTCGCTGATTCGAGTTTAGAATTCGAGTTTTGTTACGGTGAAAAGCTCTCACAAACAATCATATTTAATTTTTTTACTACAGTAAAAAGTTCTCACATAAAATCACATCTCAACTCGAATTAAAAACTCGAATCAGCGAACTGAACGGGCTTATGTTCTTTCTTTTTTAGAGTTGAGTTAGAATTTGAGAAACATAGTAGATATAGAGGTTTAAATTCGTTCTTTTTTAGAGTTTGAGTTAAAATTTGAGTTAAAAAATAAACTCAAGTAATACGAGAAAAAATTATAATAAAAAAATTAAATTTAAATTTTTATGAAAAAAAGTGTTGTAATAAAAAATTTAAATGGTAATTGAGACCTTAAACGTGGCTTAAGTGTATAGTACGTTACCTCAAAAAGATGGTATTGATCGACAGCTATATCTCCGGTGGTTCCGTCTATGATTTTACCTTTGACAAACCCATAACATAAACCCCTCAATATTATAAATGTTATTAGAGGGAAAAATTCCTTCTGGAAAATCACTAGAAGCGAAATGAGCAATCTAACCAGGCTTATGGGTGAAAACGTCCCAGTTGTTAAGGCCTTTACCATCAGTCAGAAAAGCTCCTTCATACTTGGAAAAAAAAAAAAAAAAAAAAAAAAAAAAAAAAAAAAAAAAAAATAAAAAAAAAGGGTTTTTTTTTTTTTTTTTTTAAAAAAAAAAAAAAAAAAAAAAAGAAGAAACGAAAAGTCATAATTAAAGGGTTTTTTTGTTTTTATTTTTTCAATTCCAACGAGTTGTTTGGGAAAGAAAAGTAAGGAATTCCAAGTTAAAACCTGATAAGAAGAAGACGCTGTTCCAAAGAGAAAAGTGTTGGGAAATGAGGATGAAACTGAAGAGCTTCCTTTCATTGATATGGGAATATAGCATGAAACCATGAGGATTAATGATGAAAAGCATATTAAAATTCCGAGCTGAAGGTAGTGAGATAAAGATGCTGAAATCTCCATTACAAATAGAATTTGTTGCGGAAATTAAGATGACTTTGCTGAGAATCAACCAGGCAAATAAAACAGAAAGCACTGAAGACACAACTTTTTCATAAAGAAACTTTTATAGGTGGAATGCCTCTAACTAGATCTCAACAGTGTATAACAGCAGATCTGAGAGTGTATTTATAGCCAATCAGAAGAAAATTATATATATATATATATCAGGAATTGGCCTACAGTCATCATACATGTCAGCATTTCTAGGCCTTTTTCAAGTAGATACCACAGATCTAGTTTTACTTTTTGCTTTATTATTATATTCGATATCATTACTATTAGTGGTGTCAAACGTCACGTCCAACACTAGGTTTATTAGTGGTGTCAAGTCTGGTTCAGGCCCTTCACGGTCGGTCCCGGTCTTTATATTTTTTTTAAATTTAATTAAAAAAATATATTATATACTTTTAAAAGATATAATTTTATTAAATTAATATAATAAGAATAAATACACATAAATAATTGTCTCATTAAAAATATTACTAAATAAAATCTATGAGGAGATCGGGACAAAACTTTAGCGAATGAAAAAAGAGTGCAGTAGTTAGGAATAATAAATTACAAACCTAAGTGCTTTTATAAGATTATGTTATTTTTAAGTTAGAAAAATATTCTTGCATTGAATCATTTGTGTATTGTTATTTTCGTCTTCTGGCATCTTCTCAATCTTTAACGCACATTAGCTCCTCCAAGATATCTTGATGCATTCTGCTTCTCTTCTCGTCAAGAATTCGGTTGCTTGCGCTAAAAGTTTGCTCCGATGCTACCGTTGACACTTGAGGTGTCAGAATATCACGAGCTATTACGGACAGTGTTGGAAAATGATCGGTCTTACTCTTATATCACTGTAAGATGTCTAGTTTGTCGTAATCGATTACAAAATTTACTTCAAAATATTTTACTAGTTCGGTAGACGCTTGTGTTGATGACGATCTTGTTGTTTTCTCTTTCTTCTTCAAGAAACTCCACGACGATCCTTTAGGCCCCGAACTGCTAGTTGACGACGAAGTTCCCTGTTCTTTTTTACCTGTGCTGTATTTTGCTGTATACAAACTAAAAACATTTTCTAACATTTTCTTTGCGTCAGTAATAGTTAGTTGCATATCTATTTCTAAATTTTCTACTGTAGCAGTCATAATAGTTCAGTCCCATCTACTACGCACCTAGGATCTAAAATGGTTGCCAATGCATATAACATAGACAACCTGATTATAACTTTTAAATTTATTTTTCATTAACTTAACTATATTTCTAAAAAGTTCTGTACCCCTATAATAAGAAAATGTTTATGAAATATTAAATAGTTGACGTAAAACTAAATGTGCAGTAGGATAATAAACTCCAGAAAGTAGGATAATAATTCATTACATAAAATATTTTCATGCAATCAGAACGAGTTGTGTTTCTACTTACTCGTTTAAATTATGGGCAGAAGGCTGTCTGGATGAATTCTTCGAACGACGCATCATCTGCAAAAAAAAAAGAGGCAATTCGGCACTAGCTAGAAATTTAGCTAGTGTCTCACGTGCACGTTGTGCATCGTATGTAAAAGTTTGTAAACCCTATGATATGAGTGATAGTGTTTGTTGGCAGGAGTCCACACTCCCACCTTGGTGCAACGGTAGACATACTTTCCAATGTCTATCCAGATGACTAGTACCCCCACCATTTTTATTAGAAAAATATTTTTTACAATATTTACAGACCGCACGAATTTCCATTTCACCTGTTTTTTGGGGCTCTTATGTGAAATGCTGCCATGCCGAAAAAGTTCGCGGTCTTTTTCCCCTGCTGCGTTCTCCAGCTTCCTCATTGTGCACTGAAGCATTATCCACCTAAGCATTTTCTGGTTCAGTGGGGGGTGGGGTTGGGAGGCATCATTTCTTCCTCAAAAAATACCTCATCACCAAGCTTAGGAAGAGCAGTGAAATCAGAGAAGTTTGGTGCGGCCATTTTCTGAAAATTGATTGAACTTGAACTTTGTAAATGAAAGAGCAAGAAAATGAGTGAACGCGAGAAAAAAGCTTAGAATCAAAATCAAAGATACAAGTTGAGAGATAGAATGAGAGTGAGATGAGAAGTTGAGAGTGAATTGTTGTGTGGGATTTATGGTGGAATTAAGGGGTATTTATAGAGGATTTAGGGTGGATTTTCAAATTCTTGTCATTGGGCCCTTCGCAGCCCAACAGGCGGCCCGTGACAGGCCTAACGGGAGGCCCGTCACGTGTCAAACGGGAGGCCCGTCACGTGTTAAACGGGAGGCCCGTCATGGACCAAACGGGAGGCCCGTCATGTGCCGCCCGTTGGGCCCACGAAGGGCCCACGAGAGGATTTAGAATGGGCTGTTTCATGGGCCGTTTCGCGGGCTTGGGCCTGGCCGAACAAGGGCCGAATCAGGGCTTGTGTCGGGCCGAACACGGGCCATGCCGCGGGCCTCCACGGGCTAGGGCTGAGCTTGGGCCGCGGGGGCTGAGAAGCTGAGGCCCAACCCTAACCCATTACACGTTTCGAGCCAGC